AGGTTTACAACAATTATTTAATCTTCCTTTTCTCATCTCTTTCATGGCCGCTTCTTCATATCCCGATTGGTGGGGAACTGACGTCGGTCGCAACGAGGGAACTGCTCCTCACGTCGGGGAATGAACTGGTCGTGGCGGACGCGGTCCCGGACGAGTTGATGCCGGCCGCGGTGGTTCAGCCCTTGTCAACGCTACATTCGCTAATGGGGCTGCACTCAGTATCTCTGACTCCATACATGGCGAGCCAACATCCTCATTGACAACCTCCGATCGGGCAACTATTTCTGGATTGACTGATGTCCAATTGGAGTCTATTGTACACCTCGTCACTTCCGCCCGCAATAATGCTCCTTTTGTCCGGTAAGCGTAGTCCTCATGAGTGGATATATGATAGCGGTGTTTCACATCATATGACGGGCTATTTAGAATTTTTTTTCTGATATTCAGGATATTCCATCCCGGTCTCTGCAGTTACCTAATGGCACGCTCACCACTGCGTCTAAAGTTGGAGCTGTTCATCTCGGTTCTCGTATTATTTTATATGATGTTTTGTTTGTTGACAGTCTTCAGTGCAGCTTGATATCTTTATCTCGGTTGTTGGAACAATCTGGCTGTGTTGTGCTATTCAAGACCTCACTTCGAGGAGAATGATTGGAGCGGGTGAGCAGTTGGGGGGACTCTATTTTTTCCAAGGGGCGATCACTGCAAATGCTCCTCGGGTGTCTTCGGTTATGCAGCACTTGTGGCACCAGCGAATGGGTCATCCATCTTCTACTGTGCTTGGTCAATTGCCTTTTGTCGAGTCTTCCTCCTTGGTCTCAAATAAAACTTGTGATATTTGTTGTTGGGCGAAGCAATCTCGTGCGAGCTTTCCTTTTAGTCGTAGTATCAGCAGTTCCATTTTCAGTCTGATTCATTGTGATGTGTGGGGACCTTATAGAGTTCCTGCCTTTAGTGGTGCTTAATATTTTTTGACTATTGTTGACGACTACTCTCGCAGTACTTGGATTATCTTATTGGATGACAAATCTTCGGTGTGTTCTACTCTACTGCAATTTTTTGCTTTTTGTAAAAAGGCAATTTGGTGTGTTGGTTAAAACTCTTCGCAGTGATAATGGGACTGAGTTTACTTGTATGCGTGATTATTTCCGTCAACAAGGGATTGTTCATGAAACTTCTTGTGTCGGAACTCCTCAACAAAATGGACGTGCTGAGCGCAAACATCAGCACATTCTTAATGTTGCTTGAGCATTACGCTTTCAGTCCCATTTATCGATTGAGTTCTGGGGACACTGTGTACTTGCTGCTGGCTATTTGATTAATCGAACGCCTACTCTTCTTTTATCCGGCAAGACTCCCTATGAACTTTTGTATGGAAAACCTCCCAACTATGCGCATTTACGAGTTTTTGGTTGTCTGTGTTACGTGCACAATCAGAACAGGGATTGTGACAAGTTTGGAAGTCGGAGTCGCCGGTGTGTTTTTGTTGGCTATTCATCTGGCCAAAAGGGGTGGTGTGTTTATGATTTGGACAGCCGCACTTTTCTGGTCTCACGTGATGTAAAATTCTGTGAATCCGAGTTCCCTTATTTGACGTCTCCTGCTCTTGATACTGCCTCCGTACCCGTGGTTCCATGGCCTGCTATTTCTGACGACGATGATGATGTGGTGGTTCCCACTACAACGCGTACTGCTGCCACTGGGGGTTCTGAGGTCATTGTCGATAGGGGGGTAATCCTTCCCAAGAGGAAGTGTTGGGTCGTGGTCATCGTCTCAAGAGACCATCTTCTCGTCTTGCCGACTTTGTCTCTCATACTATTTGTTCCTCGTCCCCCCACTCTGCCTCCCCCATCGCGTCATCATCTAGTACTCCTTACCTTCTCGCACACTATGTTTCTTGTGATTCATTTTCACCTGCACATCAGTCATTTCTGGCAGCCATTTATTTTGTTGTTGAGCCTCGGACCTTTATAATAGAATATGAGCATAGTGTTATAGCCTCATAGCTACATTTATTACAAAGTGAAGACGGTCATTATTTTTCGACCTTCACCGGACCTCTGAGAAGTAGAAAGAAAAATGAGGACGGTCATTGTTTTTCGACTATCTCCACCACAAATGGCGGCTTGTGCTTCTCACGTGAAAAAAGATTGTGCTTGCAACATATAGAAGCAAAAATCGAGGCGGAGTACCCCGTGAACATTATCGGGTCCTGTGATGGGGTACTTCTACTGCACGAGCAGTCGGAGGGGCCGTTCATGCTCTGGAATCCCATAACCGAAGAGTTGAAGATCCTCCCTCCCTGCTCAATTGAGACCCCGCCTACCTGTTCCAGTCCTTCATACAAGTCTCCTACTATCGGGCGTGATCCCACGTCTGGGGATTTTAAGGTTGTAAGGACAGTTCTGTTTATGAACGAGGACGAGGAAGGAAATCTTGTGGACACAACCATACTGTTTGAGCTATATTCTTTGAAGGAAGATGCATGGAGGCCCTTGAACCCTCCTAAAATGGTGACTCCGAGTAATTTCTATCGCTCGCTCGGTCTCAAGGGGTGCCACTACTGGGTCAGTTGCGGTAGTAGAATTGAGGAAGGCATCGTGTGCTTCAACTTTGAGGATGAAACATTTAACTTGTTACCCATGCCCGTCACTGCTCGTCCCGATGAGATGGAATATTTGCGTCTTGTAGAGGTTGATGGTTCACTAGGCGCTTTCTCTTACCCATTGATTGGAGATAGAAAGAGGGTTCACGTGTGGGTGTGGGATCGGGGGATGTGGAGTGAAGCGTGGAGTTTTGATGCATGTGGGGTCAAGTGTCCGTTGCGTATCTGGGGCAAGGACAAGTGTTTCGTCGAAGCGACGAATGGTGACTTGCTTCTTTTTAATGCTGCCACGGGAGAATGGGGGGCGGTTGATCTCGAAGGGTATTTTCAGAACTTGCTCATCCCGTACATCGAGAGCGTAGTGCCTTTCCTTGCTGATAGGTATATCTGTTTTAGCGGTTTTACTTTTCTTTCTTTCTTTGCTATGTATGTGCGTTTATTATGTTTTCTCCATCATGATGGTTGGTTCACATACAATGCAAACGGATAGTGTTGAATGTGTCATAACTCATAAGTGATGATCGTGTCGATTTAGTGATTCTATGATGATTAAAAGATTATGTGGACATTATGAATTAGAAGATTTTACAATGGAATAATTGGTGGAATGGATGTCCAAGAGAACATGGTTGGCACGTTCATTCTTAGGAGATACACATTATATATGAGGTGCTTTCTCGTTTTCTATGGGCTTGTTCACGCTTACGGTTGTGTTCTACATTTGAATGCACGTGTGTCTGTGCTTATGTTTTCTTTAATGATGGCTGAGGTGAACCATAGATGAGATCGTGTTGTGTTTACTTATTGTTCTTGGTCTGCAACCGACATTGATATTTTTCTCAGGAAAACGTTGATGATTTCAAGAGTAGACTCTTCCTGCATTTGTCCTTGTGCGCATTACAATTTATTATTAATTGGATTGCGTGCATCATGACCATAAGTCGTCAGTTGAAATTTCTATATGGGTTTTGACCATAAGTCGTCAGTTGAAATTGGATTGCGTGCATCATGACCATAAGGCTGTAACACTATGCTCATAATTTTTAAAACATATTGTATAAATGTCATTTATTAAAACATAATGAAATTTTAGCTTAGTAGTTTGGTAGTATCCATTGATTGTTACTAATGTTTTAGAAATGGTCGTTACTATCATACTTTTTGTTATACGTGACAAATTCACATTATACCATTATAACAAAATACTAATGTTATTTATCTATCAACAATATATTTTTGCACCGTAACATATAACTTGATTATAAATTAATTACATACTTAATTATTGGTTGTCAACCTACTCACGAATCGACCGATAATACAATACAAAAGAAAAAAAAAATTAAAATACAACCTAAACAAACTCTCATACCAGACAATAAAACAGTCTAGCAATATAAAATGCCCCCCCAAAAAAAAGAGTACACATAGTAAAAAAAACTATAATTTTGAAACTCATACAAGATTGACCAGTCTCACAAAAAATCAGTCAATTGACCAGTTCGATTCGTTAGAATAAGCAAGCCGTCAATAGATTAATTTGCCCTTTTTTTTTTTAATCTCTAATTGATCTCCACACTAAATTTTTTAACCACAAAACTTTGTAAGAAGATGGGGAAGAAGTTTTTCAGTGTCCACTATCTATATTGGAATTTGGAAGAGGTTAATTGAAAAGATTGGTAACTACACAATCCTTCGTTTTCCCAATATTTTTAAATTAAATTTAATGAATGCTAAATTTTTATTGCATATTTTTCATAAGTTAATATAATTTAATTTTACAGCAAAAATGGAAAAAAAAAAAAATAATATATTACTTGAATCAACTCTTCAACGTTGGGCTGAGTTAGTTCAAAAGCTTTGGGCTGCCCGAGTGTGTAGCACACTCAAAATAACCTAGACATAAGTCCCTTTTATATTCGAAATCTTATAGAATTTCTTCCACAGCTGAGAGAAAAGATAAGATACTAGCGATATGACACGCGCCGCCCTCACGCGCCTTCTCACCAGTTTCAGACGCCCCCTCTCAATCTCACCGCCGTCTGCCCCTGCCGTTGCCACTCCATCTCACGTTACGACCTCAATCGGCCGACGGCACCCTCAAGTTCGAAATATCGTAATGGGTTAGAGATTATGGATTGGTCTGTGCATGTCATTAACCCTTACTCCGAGCAAGCTACCAAAGAACAAATCATCGACTTCCATGTTAAACTTCTCGCTGAAGTTGTTGGCAGGTATTGATTCTCTCCAAAAATTACTCGCAGAACAGAGCACAAATTAATTCTCATTAATAATTTCTGAGCGATGGAAACCCTAGAAACTACCCTCGATTTCCCTGATTAAATGTGTTACAATTTAGCTGTAAATACATGTTAGTGCATCTCAATCACTATTGGATTATATGTTTTCTCCAGATTTTGCTTAACCTCTTAGATTATATGTTTTCACCCGACAGTCTATTCTAGTTGTTTATTACCATCTGATAATGCCACTGCATTTGTGTTAGTGAGGAGTTAGCGAAGAAAAAGATAAGCCAGCATTACAAACGAGGGTTTGATTGTGAGTTAGATGTGGATGACGCGACCGAATTAGACGGTTTGGAATTGAATTTTCTTCCTATTAATAGTTTATGGTGTGTTCTGTTAGGCATCATGCATGAACTTAATTTTCCTCTTGTGTTCTTTACAGGGTTGCCCAATGTTAGATTTGTCTCATGTGGTTTAACTGGCGGTGGTACAGCCTTTTCTCCATAGCTCTTACCTAGCTTTTGCTAATATTTTCATTAAGATACTTCATTTTGGACTTGTCACCTCCTGAAATTAGAGCATATGTGTTGAATTGAGTGTTCATTTGCGAACCTTTTTCCCTTTGGTGTTTGTTTATTTATTCGGCAGACTCCTATAATTGCTTCTGTATGCTTTAATGATGCTTCCCTGTAAATCTTTTGTCACAAGATACAAGGATCAATGGTTGATAATGTCTAGCCTTATTCAAGTCCCTTGTTTATGTTCAACGACTTAATCGTTGTCTTATTTCCTCATTTGTCATTTAAAATATACTTATTATTCTATGCCTTTACATGAAAATGTTGATCTTACACAGTTTCTTCCAAATTCAAACAATGGAGAATCGAGTTTATGCTTTTCAAGAAGATTTCGTGATCTTTTATAATTTTTATATGGATACTACATCATATTTTTTCGTGTCTCCTTTTTGCAGTTCGATTGACTTGACTGATGTTGAAGGATCTCGTGAATGAGAGAAATGGGAGTGGAAACTATTTCTATAAAGGTAGAAAACAATGACAGATTTGAATTGAGTGACTTATGAATTCATTTTGAAGAAGCATAGTTAAATATGATCTTGTTACTGATAAAGTGATCGACATGTATTAGAGAATGAAATATCTATACTCAAATAAGCAACTTATCCGACTCTTTCCAGTTGTTTTAACTTGCTTTATGAATTCAAAGTTGATTACTTTTGGTGTTGTTTCTTTCCAATTTCAATTTTCCAATGAACTGTTAGTTTTATTTTACTTATCTGCTTGTTATTTTTCTTATGCATAAATGTTTGTCAAAACAATATTTTTTTAACAGAAATGTGACTTAGTCACTGATATAACACAGTCTGGTCGATGCTCCACTTGGGGCGATCCACTCGGTCGGTACCGTGAGGCCACATGTCCCTTACTTTTTTATATTTTATGTTATTTCTTAATCACTAACTTAACCATATATTTTATGTTATTTCTTAATCACTAACTTAACCAGTGATTGACCCTCCTGCCAAAATTTCACTCTCTATTGACCACAGAAATGTCGAACTCCATCACTCCTTTAAAGCGGTATTACAGTTTGTTTAATCTCCCTTATTTGCCAATTTATTGTGAGCATGTAACCGCTACATGGGAGTTGATTCTCTCTCTCTCTCTCTCTCTCTCTCTCTTTCTCTCTCTCTCTCTCTCTGTGTTATGGGGTCCTGCTTTTCGCAGAAGTTTAACAACAGTAGTATTTACTTTGAATCGTTCTGATTCTGCGTGTTGTTAACCGGCATGATCTTTGTCCTTGTATTTTTGAAATTGTCGTTTTTGCTGTCAATTGTGTGTGAAAGAAAGTAAGGAAGTCACACACACACACACACCCACACACACACACACACACACACACACACACACATATATATATATATACACACATCTTTTTTTCTTTACATTTGCCTGAGGGTACTAGAAACAATGAAAGATAGAAAGAAACACACAGTAGAGTATCTTTCAACTTTGCCAAAACTAGTTGTTACCCTGCCACTAGTAGCCGTTGTAAGGATTGAAACATTCAATAACGTCTCCTTTGATTGATAATCATTTAAGGGCTTAGGCCGATAATGTTTTAGCCATTTCTTAACAATGAGTGGAGATGTGTGTTATATTCTTGAGCATAAATTAACCCTACTAAAATTTTTGAGGGGAAGTTTTTGGGAGTTTTGAAATTTCTGGGAAGGGAATAATTTTTGGGAGTTTTGAAAATTTTGATGATTTCAAGAGTAGATTTCCTAAATTTGTCCCGATATGCATTACAACTTGTTACTAATTGGATTCCATGCATCATGATCAGAAGTCGTCATTTTAAATTTTTATATGGGTTTTGACTTGTTTTTATTATTTGCATTTGTAGGCAATATGAAACTAGGAGTCCTCGGAACTGGACCTGGCGCCGAAGTGATACATGTTTTGTGACTCTGGGCATTTGAGTTGTGTTATTTTGCCTTTTGAAATCTAACTTTGGTGTTTTATGTATTTTGATGCTTAAGTTAAATTGGTACAAGTATACTGTCATCTGTTACTTTTGTGGTAGTTTAAGTGAATGTTTGTTTTTTAATCTCAAGGTTGTAGTATTAGCTGGCTATTCAACTAAAAGTGATTATGATTCAACAATCACAAATAGCTGATTGTTCTACTTTGTTCTATTTTAGAGTTGTAAACAAGTCGAATTCAAGCTCTTACTCTAGGTCGGGCTTGAGTCGTTATCTTTGCTCGCTAACTAATCAAGCTAATAAACGAGCTTGAGCTCGGTTTGCTGGATTGAGTATCATATTTGAATATGAAATGCAAATGCTTGATCAACATTTGATTTATTTGTGTAGTCTATATAGACAAGACAGTTTTTTATTTCTAATTTTTTTGGCAATTATCCTGTATTATTATGCTTGGTTTCTATGAGTCATACCTACTAATCTGAATTACTTCAAAAGGTGAGAATTTATCTCCTAATACAGTACCTATATAAAATGTCATTTTTCCTGCCAAGAATCACCTATATGTACCTATTTTCCATGGTCATGTACTATTCCCAACAACTAAAGCAACTTAATTCAAAATCAAGCAAATTTAATTTGGTTTGACAAACCAAAAGAGAACAGCCAATCTAATTTGTCATTCTATTCTATATATATAAGAGAAAAATTGCCCCACTAACACTATCATACATACTACATCAGTACATCACAAAACCATCACAGAATGGCTTCGGAAGGAGGTGAAAAGTCGGACTTCAATGAGAACCACAAAGGTCAGTCGAGGAGCTCTAGGGTCGATTTGGTCATTATGCTGCTGAGGCTGCTCGCGTTCTTATCAACTCTTTCGGCGACGCTTGTGATGGCCCTCAACAAGCAAACGAAAGCTATAACCGTGGCCACAATCGGGACCGTGCCCGTAAAAGCCACTCTCACGGCCAATTTCCGACACAATCCGGCATTCGTGTATGTCTTTCGTTTGGTCCAAGTTTCTATTTTTATGCATATACATACATACATATGTACATGTAATGTAGATGGATAATAGTAGTGATTGTGGATATATCGGCAGTTTTTTCGTGATAGCTAATGGCAAAGCGAGTCTCCACAACTTGTTGATGTTAGCGTTCGGTTTTGTGGGGCACAAGTGTGGGTTGTCGGGGATTGCTTCCTTTGCGATTCCAGTCCTGGATTTGGTATGACGATCGTGATAATAACAATACGTTGTACTTCATTAATGTGGAACTAAAAAATTCAGGTTAATTCATTGCAAACAAACTCAGAAAGGAGAAATTTGATATTTAGCCTTGTAACTAACACCAAATTGAGAAATAGTCTGGTGGTTGCGTTGATTTTATAGAACACCTGCAAAAAAAACTTGACTTTTGGCCATTCCACCGGCAAAAGCGGATGAATTTGATTGGTTGAGTTGGATATGTTAGTCGGCTGCCACTTGTACGAAAAAAAAAAATTAATATCCACATCAGCAACGAGTCACAGGCTTTTGCCGATGAAAGGACCAAAAGTCAGGTTTTTTTTACAAGGTGTTTTGTAAAGTCAATGTCATCACCAGACTATTTCTCAATTAAGTGTCAGGACTAAATCTCCAATTTTCTCAACTCCAAAAATTCATTTCCATTCTAAGACACTCTTAATAGTTGTTTTGAATATAATTCCATACACAAAATCTATATTATTGCATTGTTCGTCCTAATGTCTTAGATGAATGTGGCTATTGTCTCGGGTGGGGCAAGCTCGGCAGCCTTCATGGGGCAGCTGGGAAGGCACGGAAATTCGCACGCCAGATGGAGCAAAATATGTGATAAATTCGACAGGTTTTGCGACCAAGCTGGTTTGGCCATGATTGCTTCGTTCGTGGGGCTTTTGCTCATGATAATCATATGCTCGGTTTTCATCTTCAAGCTTCGCGCCAATAATCATTGGAATATGAAGCTTGTTGTGGTTCCTTGAAGTGTTATTACATACTATCGATCGTCTCTTGCTATTTTTGAATTTGTGGTGTAATATGTGTGTACTTTCCGTCGTGTTTGTTTGAAAGTCGTGATTAAACTGCGACTTATTGAAGTAAATATTGTGATTTGTTTTGCAGATGAGTCTACCTTTACTATATGGTACTTGGTTATAAAGGGGACCTAATTATATACATAAAAGATGAATGTATATATGTTGACACATATAAAATAAATACAGAAAGCATATTGATTAAAACTATTAAATTTATTTTTTGAAAAATATCACTACATTATATAGATTACTATTTATAACATCATGTTACAGCTAAAATTATCTTTAACTTGGTATCAACAATCAAATTGAATTGTATTTTTTTTTTTTGGGTACAATATTTTAAATTTATTTATTTGGAGATGTAAGACGAAAATCTTTATGTTCGATGCACTATTTAACTGACCGAGTCTCACGACGTTTTTTCTTCCCGTTTTGTACTATTTTTATTTCACCTTTAAATGCAAGATGACACCACCCCGTTTTAATTCACTGAATCTCATCACAAACAAGTACTAACATTTATAACGCATTCTAGCCGCTTTTATTTTTTCATATTAGGTGTAATTTTACTTCGGTCCTATTACAATATAATATTATCTAAAAGTAACATAAAAAATATGTCATTTCATATTGTATGTAAGCAAGTGAAGGGGCGGAGCTGTAGTCCGCCCAGGTGGGGCCTAGGCTCCACCTGAAATTTACATTTTTAATTTTTATAATATATAATTTTAAAATAATAAATATAAATGGTGTAGTTTTATAAAAATAATCTGTAAATGAAGTTGTTTATTAAGTAATCTTTTTTTTTTCTTGTTCTCTCATATTAAATTTTTCTTATTACAATGTTTAATTTATCTGTTGTATTTTTGTATAAATCTATCAAAACATCGCATGCTACTATAATAATTCTTATGTTAGAGAATTGTTGTCAATGAAATTAATTAAGTAGAATTGTAATAAATTCTTTGCTCCAACATATTGAGAAATATTATCTCTCTTCTACTCATGTAGAACACAATTTAATACTGAGAAAAATCATGAGATCTTGGCATATATACAACTTAATGTGTTTTCATTGGGTAGATGAATATTTTGTTTTGATAATAATACATTCCTAGTCATCAGAATGAATAATAATATTGAAATTTACAAAATATTAAAGATATTGTATAAGATTTCATCTTGAATTATATCAAAAAATTAGAATGTAGTTTTTGTCATATTTGTGACATTTTTTATATTGCATTTTCAATTACTACAAAAATTTGGCCCCACCTCATTCTATTTGCTAGATTCGCTCAACGGGACTACTCCTACGCAAGCCTAATGATAGGACAATCATAGTTTCTTAATAAATAGTGAAAATATTTTTTTTCAATCCATTATGGAAATGTATTAATCTTTACATAAGTTAATTTTTTCATTCTAGAAAATGCGAAGATATTGTGTGATAAATATGCGACAGTTGTGCGATGACATTATGCGAAAGTTAAAACTACGAAGACATTTGCATAATCCTTCACACATTCTGAAATGGAAAAGTAAAAATGTAAAGGTATTGTGCGATCAATACGCGACAATCATGGAATTGATATGCAGAAGTTATTTTGCATTTTCCAAAGTTAAAAAAATATATTTTTAGCTAGCAGTATGAAAAAATAAATGTATCTAAGGGTGAAAAAGATTTTTCCCTAATAAATATACATACTTCTAAATTCAAATGCTTTACTTCTAAAAACAACATAAATAAAATCAATAACAATACTTCTGTAATTGTGATGTTTTTAACACTGCGTATAGCGTTTCAAGTAGCAACATTTATAACGGATTCTAGTCGGTTATATATTTTATAATTAGGTGTAAATATAATTTGATCCTATTTATAGTGTAGTATCATATAGAATAACAATATCACATTTCATATGTAAGTTTGCAAAACTAATAAATAATATTGCAAAATTTCATAGAATAAGTATACAATTTTGTTATAAAGATTGATGATCAGTCTCACAAATGTAATAATTATACAGCTTATACAAAGAATATTTTTATTTTAAAAGTAAGATATGTGAATCTGTATAACTATTTCATATACACACTGAAAACTTGGGTTTTATATAAAATAAAATGGAGAATTAAATTGTTTTATAAAAAAAAAAAGCTTTTATAGCACTCTTGGGGTAATTTCGAATCGAGGGCAAACCAAATCCCCCATTCAATATTATACCAATTCCTCACCAACTCTACAAGGAATCAAATCATTTTAATTAGTAAAATGCCAAAATCAATTACAAATACACCAACCACGAAACAAATAAAGAATTATCTTAATTAATTGTTTTCATTTGAATTAATGTTCCTTTTTGTTCACAGTTTTTTAGTACTTTGTTTGTCAATCAAGCAAAAACACAGTAGTACACAGTATTTGGGACAGCCGCTGACATTGGCCCCTAGATTTCTATATTCCCTACGCAAATTAAAAAAAAAAAAGTAAAAATGAAAATAAAAACCGTCATTTTCAATTAGATTCTCAAATTTTTCTTAATTTCAGTAAAAAAAAAAGTATTGAAAAAATTGAAAATAAATTAACTCCACGTATAAAGAGAAATTAGGGTGGACCCACCCGGTTTTTTCTCTCTACAGATCCAACTTCCTCGTTTAGCAGGAACAGAGAGAGTTCTTATCCTACACAAACACAGACAGACATCATATATATTTATTTTTATTATAAACTATTTAGAAAAATGGTACCTTTACCATATTATAAAATAAATTCAAGATTTTGCTCCAACGTGGAATTCTTTAGGTGTTTTTGAGGTATCCTTTTAGCTTTTTTCTTTACCAATTTATTTCATTTTCACAATCATATAATGTTCGAGTAAGTGAAATATATTTTTTGTTTCACGAAAAAGAACAAGTCTTTCCTTAAAACTGTCCTTTTTTTTTTATTTCTTATTATTTTCATTTTCTAGAAGCAAAAATATATTGAATTGGATTGCACATTAGGTTTTCTTTTTTTCTCTTTTCCCCTTTTTTCTATTTAGTCAATAGAATTAGCCCTGTCCTCAGCTTTTGATCTCTCCACACCTTTTGTGTATTTTGGTATGAATGGGATTTTCATTCTGTGGTTTATTGGAAAATTTTCTCTAGAGGGGACTGGTTGAATATGTCATAATTAGGTCTTTTATCTGTTCATGAGCCATGGCTTTATTTTTTTTCTTCATTTAATTGTCATGATTCTTGAAATTTCTTGGGGGCATGTTTCAGTCTGCAAGGTTGATTTTTTTTTTTTATACATAGGTTGTCTTATTTTATTTCCAATTTCACGTTAGGTTCAATTTCTTGATAGTTGCAACACTTTCAGTTTATTGGTTCTTCTCAAATTTTATTTATTTATTCTGTTACTAGGATTAGTAATGTTCAAAGATTGATGATTTGGGTCTGAATTAACTGGTATAGATTGCCCAAAAAACAAAAAGGTAAGGATTTTTTTCTAAGGCTTAGCATTGTATGTCTCATCCTTAATAGTTCTTACATAAAGTCCATTCAAAACTTTACAGGGATAAGGGGTAAGGGATAAGGGTTTGTTTTCCTACATTATCCCAATTTGCTGTGTTAGATGATCCTATCTTTAATTTGTAGTCATTTATAGCCCAGGTAAGACTTGTTATCGTCTGTTTAATGGAAAAGACTATACATTTTGTAGCAGATCTGATAGCCTTCAGTTTTTATGCAATTGTTTTGATATTTTTCGATTGCTGCCTGTTTTGGTGAAATTGATTACTCCGTATGATCTGTAAGA